GGATGGTTTTGGTAATATATTACATTAATATAATTTATTATGGACATGATCAAAAACGGTTTTAAAAATTTACAAACAATAAATTTCGGTAATTCTAGGAGACAAGTTCACGCAACGAAACTCTTTACATGATAATATATAAATATTCCCATACAGTATGATAAGAGTCTAAAACGTTCTTAAGAACCAATTATTGCAATTAAATATATTTATTAATAATCTCATAGTACATACACTGTTCTTGAATGACGCTGAAGCTAAATTATTGAAACAGATTTCTATTTGAACTGTTGATGTGAATTTAACTTTAGATTTCATAAACGGGAAATGGATCGAATTGAAAACCAGAGGCGGAATGATTTACAGAGAGGCAATTTCGGCAACGATTTACCATATCATTACGAGTAAGATGATTATAATAGTATATATAAACTAAACCCACTAATGGTTATCATTTTGTAATATGTATACAGATAAATATTTTGTCTGAAATTTAGCGAATTATTGACAGCTTCTTGACCATTAGTGAAAATATTGGTTAATTATCGCTCTGTCAACTATTGATAATGTATCACATAAAAAATATGTTAAAATTTGATTCATATTTATTGAGATTATTAAAATACTTATTGNAATTATTGACATTTTCTTGAGCATTAGTGAGAATTTTGGTTAATTATCGCTCTGTCAACTATTGATAATGTATCACATTAAAAATATGTTAAAATTTTATTCATATTTATTGAGTTTATTAAAATACTTATTGAAAACAAAGTGACATAAATTTTAAAATTTTACAATTATTGTTATTATCATTCTGTATATAGATGCTGTATATGTAGCAGAATAGTTCCCACAAACTCATTTTAGATTTAAAAGATTTAACTTTGAATTAAATGTTCAAATTCTTTGTAAGCAAAATTTCTTAAAATTTCATTAATTGCGATGGTTTATGTAATATATTACATTAATATAATTTATTATGGACATGAACAAAAACGGTTTTAAACATTTACATACAATAAATTTCGGTAATTCTAGGAGACAAGTTCACGCAACGAAACTCTTTACATGATAATATATAAATATTCCCATACAGTACGATAAGAGTCTATAACGTTCTTAAGAACCAATTATTGCAATTAAATATATTTATTAATAATCTCATAGTACATACAGTGTTCTTAAAAGATGCTGAAGCTAAATTATTGAAACAGATTTCTATTTGAATTATTGATGTGATTTTAACTTTAGATTTCATGAACGGGGAATGGATCGAACTGAAAACCAGAGGCGGAATGATTTACCGAGAGGCAATTTAGGCAACGATTTACGATATCATTACGAGTAAGATGATTATAATAGTGT